GAAAAAAATAAACATGGCTCTATAATTTTATACGTGGTAGAGCCACGCTGCAGCTATATTATGGTTTTAGCACGAATGGGTCGGCTTGACCAGGGAAGGATCAACCCCCAACAGACGGAGGTGGTTGCTGTATTCCAGTGATACATTTCGGAAAGAAGGAGCCAAGGTGAACTGGCTCCTTTTGCAGTGAAGGGATACGCTTGTGTTTTGGAGGCGTTGAATTTCACAATATTGGCATCGCCCCATTCGAAGACTGAGATTCACACACTCCACCATAACTTCTCTTTCAGACTGGATCTGATCTCGACTGGCCTGAAGACTTGGTTGGTATCTCTCCACAACTGTGCTGTCGTCTGCGTACTCATAGATACCGGGCGTAAGCAAATCATTAATATTCAGCAGGAAGAGAATTGCGAAGAGAACGGACTCCTGAGGAAGACCGGCGTTAGTCGTCATAGGATCGCAAGAGACGACGACCCGGAAAGACCATTTACTCAAAAAGTCCTTTACTCAGTCAATCAGATCAATGGATAAGTCGTACGCTGGTAGCTTATCCAAACGGCTAGCGTGCCAAACTCTGTCAAAGGCCTTCGAGATATCAAGGGAACCAGAATCGGGTAACCTAGTCGCTTCCTTTACCAACTGAGAAAGACCTAGCGTCAAGGCAAATTCCACGCTTCACTTCCAACATGGTCAGTCTTCTGGTATGGGAACAGCCAGTCTTTGTGACCAGCGTTAAAGTCGCCTAGAAAGACCAGCTGTGCAGTAGGATACCGTTTTATGGCTAAATCAGCAGCCTCACTAAGGTGATCAAATAATCGTGTTGTTTTCTGGTCACCGCTGTGCGATTGATGGACACAGGCATAAAGAGTTTTTATCAATACCTGTTTCTACCATCACCCAGATTGTCAAAAAAAGTGGGGTCTTCAAGATGTCATTGCGGACGTACACACAGACTTCGGCACGCAGACATTCAATGGATATTCAATTTGAGTCTCCGTCAAAAAATTAGGTGCGGCTCCTCAATATCAAGATGGTGATGGACTGCGCTGAGATTAGATATTGCGTGCGTGCGTGGAGTGAAATCATCTAACATTAGTGAGGTGCTCTTCAAGATCACTTCTAAGGAGAGAACGTGCAACTGTTAAGAGTGAATATGGATGTAAAATGGTAGTTGAACGAGGCGTTGCATTAGCAACTAAACGATACTACCAGAGCTACTGCACCCGTGGGAACTTGATCTGGAGACTGCGGGAACGCCCCAACCCCTCTAGAGATCGCCATCGGGTCCTCTTGCCCGGTCGCTAACCAGCACGATGGAGCCACTCTGGGATTTTTCGCTTGTTGGCGCGGCAGCCTTTCAAGATCCCGCTTCCCGCTTCGGATTCCGCTACTCTTCACAACCAAACACCCGACGCAGTAACAACTGAAGCTTCGCACCCGGTTCACACACACAACACTACCGTTCAGACCCATTCTCCATATGGCTTCACCAAGCATTATTCCGGAACACGACAACGTTCTCTCTGCTGCCCGTTTAGCACTACCTAGGGGACACGTGTAGGGAGTCAGATTTCAAGTATTTCCTACGGATTCGAGCAGCCCCGTCCGCATTTAAGACTACATTAGTACATATTCAAAATACGTTTTGATTTATTGCCGTCTAAAAGTAAATTATGGGTATTAAAGCAATGACCTAATATAGACGATACAGAATTATTTACATCGTCGTTATTAATTGATTGATGATCATTGACTTCCAGAATTTACGTCTATAAAAATTATTGAAAATTAACAATCTATAAATTACAAAATCCGAAACCTCCGAAATATATTTCTTCTATATCGCATTTACGCAATTTTACCAGCCTAGACATTGACCAACTCAGGAGAGATGCTGTTCTTATTGATTTTGCTCCATTGCGGGCTGCTACTTCTATAGATGACAAAATTTACTTTTTGAACAACGCTATTCTGAATCTCTATAACGTCCATGCGCCAGGTCATCAATTAAGACTAAAGCGACCTCCTTCCCCTTGGATGAATAAGGTGTACGAGTGGCAATGTGCAAACGAAATCGGGCATTTACAAAATACAAAAGAGTACGTACAGAAGAGAACTGGTGTAACTTCTAAATTGCTAAGAAACAGGTGCAATCAGATGGTACGAAATGCTAAACGCCATTACATTCATGATAACTTAACCAATACTTCGACCGCTGATATGTGGAAATTCTTAAAATCTCCTGCTATTACAAAGCCAATGTCATCTGATAATAGTTCTCTTAATCTGGATGATATAAATCGTCACTTTGTCTCAACTCCTACACTGGACTCTTCTGTAAGATCACGAAACATTGCTTCTATTGCTTCTATGCAACCTCTAACTATTCCTTTTTTCGTATTTTCTCCTGTAACTCAAGATGAAATAGCTAAAGCTGTATTGTCTATTAATTCCAAGGCTGTAGGTTGTGATGAGATTAGTAAATTTATGATTATAACATTACTTCCTTCTGTCAGCTATCACTCATGTTATTAATTACTCGCTGGACTCAGGTCAGTATCCAACATTGTGGAAAAGAGGTTCCCAAAAATATTCTATTCTGAACTACCAAATCACTATCGTCCAATTTCTATTCTCCATATCTCTCTAAAGTTCTGGAAGCCTGTGTGCATAAGCAATTATCTATTTTCATAAAAAATATAACCTACTGAATAACTTACAGTCAGGGTTTCGCTCTGGTCACAGTACCACCACTGCACTTATTAAGATCACTGATGACTTTAGAAAAGGGATGGAGGAACGGAAAGTTACAGTGGTGGCGCTTGTTGACTTTTCAAATGCTTTTAACACAATCGACCACGATATCCTCCTATCCATTTTTTCTTACCTCAGATTCTCATCCCCAGCCTTGGAGTGGTTCTCATCCTATCTTCGCGGTCGTCAGCAATTGGTTAGGTCAGGTGAGCAGTTTTCTGCTTGAGCTGACGTTGAAGCTGGTGTACCGCAAGGCGGTATATTATCTCCAATATTGTTTTCGCTGTTTATAAACTCAATATCTAATGATTTCAGTTGCTCGTACCATCTGTACGCCGATGACCTTCAACTATATGCACAATCCAGCATCGATGATATAAATAATACAATTAAGGAACTAAACATAAATTTAGATGCCATCCGTATCTGGTCACATAGATTTGGTGTTTCAGTAAGACCCGATAAAATGTAAAGCAATGGTTGTGGGTCGCTCAAGAATGTTGAGTATGATTGACTATGGAAACCTCGAACCAGTTCTATATAATGGAATTACAATTCCATTTTCTCAATCCATAGTCAATTTATTGTAAGTCAATATATATTTTTTTTGTGTAAGCGACACATAGATCACTGTATGAACTGGGCAGCACAGATCTCGGAAATTAATCGTAAAGTTGTTGCCACCCTACGTTCCCTCTACCGTATGAAAAATTTCTTACCCTTCAAAACAAAGCTTTTGCTTGTTAATTCCCTTATTCTTCCTATTATAGACTATGCAGATTTGTGCTATCCAGACCTCTCGCAAAATCTTCTTAACAAGTTGAAGCGCCTTCTCGACAACTGTATAATATTTATCTTCAACTTACGAAAATACGACCACATCACTGCTTTACGTTCCAAGCATAAATGGCTTTCTATTTGTCAGAGGCGTTGCTCCAAAATCTTACTAACTCTTTTCTCTATATTAAATGATCCGACGTCTCCTTCTTATCTTAAAGATAACTTCCACTTTCGGTGTTCAACTCTTGATCGTGAACCTCATTCCTCTAATGTCCTTAAGATTTATTTACCTCAGCATAGTACTGTTTTCTTTAAGTTTTCTTTTACAGTTCAGGAAATACTTCTCTCTGGAACGCCTTGCCCGTTAGTATAAGAAAAGCATCGAATAAGTACACGTTTAAAAAACTAGTCCGGCAACACTATCTTGAGGAAAACTCCATTTGAGCATTCTATTTCTATCTTTATATTTATTTATAATATAGGTGTATATATATATATATATATATATATATTGTGTGTATTTGTGTTTATATACCAATATTCATAATTTATTTTTTATTTTTTTCTATATGTATATTAGTATGTATGCATGTATATTTATTTACAATATATGTTTATTCATTTTAATATTTTTAGCACCTACCAACTATTGACATGTCAAATTTTCCCAGGGTTAACTGGTGGAGAATGCCATAAGGTTGCTGGTTATGCATTAAGTCCGCGCATTGTAACCCTTAGATTAAGGTGTAAAACAATAAAGATAAAATAAATAAATAAAATTGTATAAAATATCAAACACATATAACGAATTGAAACGGTGTTTATTTCACGGTTCACTTTACTATCACTATCACTACATCACAAGTTCTCATAAACTATGGTCCTGAGCCACCTGCATACATCGACTGCTTGCGTGTTTCAACAGATCGTCACTCCATATAGTGGGGTGTTGTCCAATAGTTCGCTTGCTAGTACGAGGCGGACTGGAGAACCTTTCTTCTCCATCGATTTTCGGTTCTTCAGGCTATATAACCAGCTCATTGACACTTCAGACACTCTTCATCTTCTGCGGATATCATGGTTTTACAGATTTCCGCTAAGGAATTTCGAGCATAGCCCTTTCATATAAAATAAATAAATAAATATGTCCAGCTGTAAATAACCTCGTTCCGTTTGCTCAAGTTATTAAACAATTCACACTTAGCTAAATAAAAAATAAAGTTAAAATATGTAGCCAAATTTCAAAACTCTTTTACTACTTGTTGTTCCATTTTCCTACAAACTTTAATATGTTCATTCTCAGTTTTAAGATCTGTATTGGTTTGAAAATATCAGTTTTGGATGGTGTAGTGCCTATTCCGCTAACCTTGAAAAAGTCAATTCATTTTGTCTCGTATACCATTATATTATATTACGCGAAAATTATTTAGATAACTTGAAAATAATGTGTGGGAAAATCTTACCTTATTAAATCCAACAGAGTATCTGGCGTCAGCGTATCCCTTTTGATTACTTTAGTGACATTTGGCTGGCTGTACGCTTCAGGGTCATTCCCTGGCTTAATGGTGGTAACAAGAGCAATTCCCAGCATCACAGCGCACACTGTCGTTGTCATATAATAAATGATTGCACGGAGACCGACTCTGAAATAAGAAAAAGTATTTGATATTTTGCACTTCCTTAACCTTCGTCAGCACATAAACAATCGACTTCCTCCGGTTTCCTTTTAATACTCATGCTTAGAAGGCACACTGGTTCGGTATTTCACATCTAGCATAGAAAAGATTATTATATCGCCATCTATCGGAAATCATGAGATAAAATCATTGATTTTCTTACGCTATAGTATAAATAAGACGTTTGAAAGATCTATTCATAAGCTGTCACTGCTCCATTGTAAATACTTCATAAAAGGATTTATTATGTATATCAATTTGTAACTATTTGCAACACAATTTAATATTACGTATACATTGTGTTATAAATAGTTAAGTCGTTATATAACTATTTATAACATAATGTTATATGTATTGTTTTAAATTGTGTTATATAATGTTATATAACACAATGTTGTTTCTATTTTTCTTCTCTATACCTGGAAATATCCATGTAGATGATAGCATTATTTACAAACCTTTGTGGTTTACAGACAATATTATACTTGTTTTAGTACCTATAAAATTTTTAAATAATAAATAAATAAAAAAAAATTATCACCGTTGATCACACTAGTGATTTCTGGATCTTGACAACAGCGCCACCTACAGTGTCCAAATGTGAATCTAAACCATCTATATACCCTTTCAAATTAACACCAAAATACAATAAAAATCGGTCGAGCAGACAGATCGTAGTATAAATTTCAGGTAACGACGAAACCAAGCCAAGATATGGCATATTTTTTTTGACAGTTGACACTTAATCACGAGTTTAACTTTTAACTAAATCATAGTTTTTACAAAAATATACAGTTTTAAATAATCATCAACTTACTTTCCAGACAGACTAAGATCCAACGACCCGATAGCTGACACTATAGAAGATACCAGAAGTGGAACTATAAGACACTTAAGCATCCTTAAGAATAGTTCTCCTGGATATTGGAAGTACATAACCTCTCTCTTCGTCCACTCATGGCCAGACGCTCTCAGCCCCCATCCTAATATCGTGCCGGCAACCACGCCGATAATGGTGAGTAGAGTAAGAAGGTTTTCTCGCAGGAAAACGAAACATTTCCGCCGGATTTCGGACGGCATTTTAGAGACTCCGCTTTTTTCTGTAAACAAAAAATATAATAAATATTAGTTATTCATTCAAAAATCAATTTATACTTTTTATATTGACCGTGGGAGGTCAAAAAGTTCGCGGAATGTCGGGGTTGGCAAGGGTGAGTTTACAAATCCAGGTAAGCCGCTAGTTGAGTGAATCATTTTTAGTATATATATCAAGTTTCAGTATAATCGGTACATTAGCTTTTAAGTTATCAGCGAGTAAGCAAGTCAATCGGAAAGAAACTAGCCACTATGGGGAAAATTGAATCGAATTGCGCCGTCATTAACTTTCTTACCAAATAAGGAAAGACACCTCAAACCATTTTTCAAGAGATGTCAGTTATTTATGGGGACTCCGTTCCTGGAAAGACCATGATTTATAAATGGCATGCCCTTTTCAAACAAGGGAGGGACTCCATCGAAGACGACCCCTGATCTGGACGGTCGTTTGAGGCTACCAATCCATAAATAATCGAAAAAGTTGAAAAATTTGTATCGGAAGATGCCCGACTAAAGAAAAAACATTTTGCAAAATTAGTTGGAGTATCAGAAACAACCATTTTAACCTGTAAAACCGTTAAACATCCTACATCAACACCTTGGTATGACTAAAGTCTGTGCAAGATGAGTTCTATAGAAATAGAAATAGAAACTTTTTTATTCAATGTAGATTATAAACAATACTTATTGAAAGTCAATTTTTTCATTTAGCACTGGTTCGCAAAAAAACCTCTGTCCTGGGAAGAACCAGCAAGAAACCTAGCGGGACTATTTTTTTTTTTTCAAATAATAGCTTACAATCATATTTACAATTAACAACACAGGACAAATTAGAAATAGCTTGGTAGCGTATCATCCTTCCCAGAGGTTATCATCCATAAATTCCTTAATATTATAATAAACATTTTTATACAAACTTAGTTTAATAAAATTTTTGAACTTTGCGTATGACAAATTTTGTATATTTTCTGGGATTTTGTTGTAAAAGCAATCTGATCAAATCTGAGACAAATCTGAGAATGCATTCTGCGCATCAAAAACACGAGCGCGTCGAAAATAGTCGCGAGTTTTTGGATCGCTGTGGAGAGTAAAGGGAGGAAGTTATGACCCGAATTGTACCTGACAATGAAACTTGGATTCACCATAATAAACCTGAGTCACAGCAAGAGTCATAAAGAAGGCACACACCCTCCTAAGAAGTATAAGATGCCTCGATCGGCCGGAAAGATTATGGCGACGATCTTTTGGGATACAGAAGGTATCCCTTCGATTGATTATAAGGAACGTAGTGATTTAATGATTTCTTATATTTACGCGAACACTACACATTGAAATAATACTAGTTTTTACGGAGTTTATCGCGTATATTTATCTTGATAATTACCCGACGTTTCGAGAGCTTTACAGCACCCATGGTCACGGGAAGGACTGAGATGTTCAACGTCCAGCTGTCATAGTTAACCGCGGTTACCATAGATTAAAATTTAACTTTTGTTCCGATCTACACAGTATGAACTTATGGTATCATGGAGTCTTGCAGTTGTATGCTTGGATTGGGATTTAATTTTATTTATTATAGGATCCCAAGCAGATGGTAGCACCCAGCCATCTTCTCTATTGAAATTAGGATGTTTTTTGATTTCAATAGCCTCGCGAATCATACTTGGAAGGAATCGGTGTTCTTTAGCGAGGATTTGTGGTCTATCAAATCTGATGTAGTGACGGGGGCGATCCTGTACATGTTCTGTACAGTGTTCTGGAAGTCTGCAGTCTGTGAACATGTACAGGATCGCCCCCGTCACTACATCAGATTTGTTTCAAAACGTAGTGATTTTATAACGGGACAATGCTACACTTATTTACTAGATCAATTAAAAGAAGCTATTTAAGAAAAAAGGTGAGGAAAGATTAAGAAAAAATGTGCCCGTGCACACAAGCCACGTTGCGACGGCTGCCATTCAACGGTGCGGTTTCTTCCCGCCCGCGATTGTTTCCAAAGATGAAGAAAGGACTGCGTGATGAAAAATTTTGCGAATACGATGAAGTGAAGTCGTTTGCTTTTACGCCAGACATTTTTTTTTAAACTATATTAATAAGTTATTTGAGAGATCTAATAAATATATTAGGGTTAAGGGAGAGTACATTTAAAAAGGAAAATTTTATATTTTATTTTATTATCCTTCGTTGTCATTCTGAGAACGTTTTGACCTCCCATCGTAGCTCAGATCGAATCCTGCCGGCACCAATGAAATTGTTAATTACAATTTTAAATGCTGAATTACCACGTGCTCTACGGAGAAGCAAAATATAGTAAAGAAACCATCAAAAACATCGTGAAGAAACCTGCATGTCTTATAAATCAAAAAAAATATTTCGAAGACATAGAGTCTACCAACACGCAACGGGGCAACGTGGCGTACTTTTTCTAGCCCTAAAACCCTTCTCAGATATGAGAAGAGGCCTAATCCCAGGATTAGGACGAAGTAAGCTGTAACTTTAGCTATATACCAGATAGCGATCATTGAGAAAAAATTTATAAAATTTCTAATTAGAGCTCAATAAACTTCTGAGTAACAAATAAAAATATATTACAGCATTTGCGATGAATATGTGCACACTTTAATATTTTCAGTACTCTGTCAGGAATAACATCTGCGCAGAGGCGGCAAAAGGGAAACTTTTATTTTGCCTCATGTTAAGAGTGGTTTCTTCATAAGTGGCAACTTAGAGACAGACTTAGAAGAGGTGTGACACATCTGCAGCATGGGAATCCACAACTTCTTCTGCATCTAGGGCGGCGTCACTTTGAATGAAGTGAAATATTTCATAGCGGGGGAAGCTAACTTATTAGAAAATATAATTTTTTTTCCTGATATATTAGTTATATTTGTACTATACTAATTATGTGGTAAAGCCATGCTGCAGCGATATTATGGTTGTAGCACGAATGGTCGACTCGACTGGGGTCGAATCACGCTCTCACAGAATACCACTGTAAAATTGCAGTTTAACGCTGCTGTGTTTCGTATCACCATACGTGTAGAGAACCGGAGATACTTTTTACTCGAAAAGAGGTTTCTATCGTAGTTCTCAGGGGTGACAACGCATCTGCATTTTGATTCTTAATAGAAGATAAATGTAGATATCTTTGGGTCACAGCATCCACTCACCATCAGGTGGATTGTGTGCTCGTTTATCACTCCCATTCTACAAAAATCCCTCTGAACTACTGATTCTTGAACTTGATAGCCACCACCAAACAGGCTATGTATTTAGTTACAACAAAGTTTTTTTTTAATCTAGAAATTAAAGATTATTCAACATGAAGCAACGTTGGATTTATTGATACAGCGAGCTATGGAGTTTCTCTGTTCGGAGTTTCTCTGCTTGATACACTCAGAAATGACGATATCCGCAGTAAAACCAGAGTGACCGACATAGCCCAACGGATTAGTAAGCTGAAGTGGCATAGCCCAACCGATAACCGATGGGGAAGAAAGGTTCTCAGTAGCAGCCTCGTACCGGAAGGTATAGTGTAGGGCGACCCCACACTAGATGGAGTGACGACCTGGTAAGACATGCAGGAAGTCGATGAATGCAGGTGGCTCAGGACCTGCGTGGATACTTTGTTTGCCGGATAAAATTGAGACAAGAGAAATCGATTTACCCAAAAGATATACATTCAACACACGAGAACAATGTTTCGGTACTTATGAATAGGTATTTGGAGCTTGGCACTGGCACAGTACTATTGTAGTCGCTTCCCAGTCCACGTGCGAGCAACGCCGACGTCTCGGGAATTCGTTGATACGTCACGTGTAACTAAGATTATAGTCTGCTAATAGCTATCGAGAAAATCAATCAGTCTTATACTACAAAACCTAAAGGATAAATTAATATTTGCTTAGCAATGAAAGGGTATGTGAATATACTCAAATACTTTAGCGAATACATGTTCAATTTATTTTTCAGATTTTTTTTTCATATAAATAAATATACTTATCCTTAAACCGTAAATTTCTCATGTTTAGTGGACGCGTTTTATATAAAGTTAAATATATAGTATTACAATCTTACAGATATAATATTACAGAATTTACCGAAATTGAACCTTAAAGAGTATACTATAGGGATATACTACATTCACCTCGTTTGATAAAAAATCAACTGAAATATTTTTCACACACAGACACTCAACATGACGTCATAAATGAATTTGCAAAATCATGCCTCGCTCTACTAGAATATATCGCTTTACCAAGGAACCACCAATTGAAAGAAGGAAATTAATCCAAAAATTAAGAACGGGGAAAATTAAAAAAAAAACATTTTATCTTTTTTTATAGAAGAGGCACACGAACATGCGGCTACTCACCTGATGGAAAGTAGAGTAAATGCGCAACACCAGGGGAATCGAATCCGGCCTTTTTTTTAGATCTCTCTTTCGTCTACTTATAGGTTCATGTGTGCGTTCATTTACAAATAAATCTTGCTGATGTACGTTAATATTAGTTAAGTTAATTAAATGAAAGCTTTGGATTTATTTCCTTATTCCAATTTATTATATACTAGCATACAATAGTTATTGAAGTAAAGGCAAAATAATAAAAAACATTTAATTATTAAAAATATGAAAGAAATTAATTGTCACTGTTTTACTTCACTGAGTTTCCATGTTACGCTGTCTCAAATACAACTAAAATTAGAATGGCGTTCCCTACCTTTATCCAGTTTATTAAAAAAAAGACAAATTTAACTTCTATTAATGTAAGCTTAATAGTTGGAAGCAGCAATTAAAAGACGTATTTGTTCCCTTTTTCCGACAAAATTTTTTTATCTCATGAATCTTTATGGGTTGAGTATGTTTTATTCCTTTCTTCGAACTCACAGACTAAAAAAGTGCATACGTCAAAAAGTGAAATATATTTCGTTCTTCCAACTGATGATTCTTTAAATTTTTCAAATACTAGTAAGTACTAGTTTACAGTACTCTAAACAATCTAGC